ATTGGAGCTGTCCTTGAACATTAAAAACCCAAGATTCACGGGAAGAGAACCAGTATTACCGCTCGATTTTGTTTTGAACAGGAACACGACCCACACTCAACTGTACGTGAGGCTGCTTCTTCCTTCAGACTCCTTATCGCCTCCCTTTCTTTCATCGGTACCGGATCCGCGAGCATGCTCCCTTGGAGGTAAAAGAATCCCATCCTATTTTTTCTTCAAATAAGTCCTGATAAACACTGATTTTTTTGGGAGTCAGCCTAGTCAACCTCCAGAGCCCTGTCTAGCTAACTAGAACTTTCATTACTTCGAGAGCGTCTCCATGCGTTGGTGCTGCCTAGCTCATCGGTCTAAGGTAGGGTTTTATGTTATCAGGGTTTATTTTTCTTCAAAATGGAGAATGTCTTATCGTAGTTTACTTTTCCCTGCAGATTTGGTGTAGCTCGTTGACAACTTTTGGTGCTGGACAGAAAAACAAGGTTTATCGGAGACTATGTTGAAGAAAATAGGGCATGGGAATCCCCAGCTCCGGGAAACATTCGCACGGCCTGAATAATCGAAATACACCCCCTTGCCGACGAGGAAAAGGTACGGGATGTGGGGTTCGAGAGCAAGAACCTGCCTCGCAGACAGTTCATTGGGGGCGGTGTTATGCGTCCAAATAAAACTGTAAATGAAGATTTTCCTCCTACAAAACGTGCCTTTTTTTTTTTATCAAGAACACCTCCATTTCTGAGTTTTTTTTCTTTTTCTTTTTCCTGATTTAAAACCGACTAAGGGTTTAATTTTTCGGTTTATTGGAATCTACCGAAAACACTAAACCCTAATTTTCGGTAGTGCAAAGTGGGCACAGAGTTCAATCAAGATTTCGTTATCTCTCGCTTTGAGGCTGGGGATATTGCAAACAGGCCCAGAATGCGACATTTTGTGTCGCTGAGGAGTAAAGACCTCTCTCTACAACTATTTATACGAGGTGTGATCAGAAAGTTCCGGGATTGATTTTCTAGTGTAAAAAGAGAGGGCAGCTCTGTGTCTCGTTACACTAAAGGGCGCCGCTCTGTGAACATTTGGATCTGCGTTTCACGAGTTTTCGTGACCACGTGCATGGGCACAATGAAGATTTTATTATAGACTACAAACCAGAGCGAAAGCGAACATCAATTTTGCGTCAAACTCGACAAATATATAGCAGAAAACTTCGATATGATTCAGCAGGCTTGTGTAAAAAGGCAGTGAATTTCGCGAAGTTTTTTAAGTGGCACTTGCGCTTCAGGAACAGCAGAACATCACTGGAAGACGAAAAGCGGTAGGGGGACTTTATCCGACCTCTCCTTGACTTTGGTGATGTTCTGCCATTCTTGAGGCGCGAGTGCCACTCAAAACACCTCGCACACTTCACTTTGTTTTTTTTACATAAGCCTTCTAAATCATTTTAGAGATCTGTTTTATGTTTGTTGAGCTTGACGTAAAATTGATGTTCGTTCTCGCCTTGGTTTGCAGTGCATGGAAAGATCGCAATCATGCTCGTGTATGTGGTCAAACAAACTAGCGTAGCGCAGCTCCAAATGTTCAGAGCGACGCTTTTTGGTATAATGAAACATGAAGGTTCTTTACTTTGACTGCTGCGCGTGCATCACTGTACTGCCCTCACTTTCTACGCTGCAAAATCAGTCCCGGAACTTTTTGATCACCCCTCGTATGTGCATTCTAACAAAGATCAAACATGCAATGAGGTGTGCAGCGGGGTTTCATGGCTAAATGAACATGCTAAGTCTTCCCACTATGCACACCCCCCACCCACCCCTTTTCTTTTAATAATGGGGTCCCTCCCCCCTTAGGAGCTCCTCTGGATCCACGCCTGCACTGAATTCACATGTAGCAAAGTGCTTCCCGCAGACGCTATCGTCGTCCGAAGCTGCCTACACTAGTTTTTCTTATTTATGAAGCCGAGCATGTTTTTGGAGGGATAGGGCAGGCAGAGAAATCTTATGCACTCATCCTGACAACTTATTTATCTCTTTTGGTGCAACACCAATCCACACAAATCTGCAGCATTTTGACGAAAGGGCAGATTTCTACAGGTCCCAACGATAAAATGCTGCAATGGCTGGCTCAATCGTCATTTTTTGGCTGCACGCAAAACCAGGAGGCTGACCTAAGTGCCACTGCCGTGGTGTGAAATGAGAGAGGTGAGTTAATGTATAACAACAACTCTAGGTGGTACACGCTGCCACCTTATACAGCGGGGCATATAATCACATACATATGCGAGCTCAATTGCATACATGCTACCGATTTTAACTTGTTTTCACTACCATAAATTACGTACAATAGTCTGCATGTATATTCATCAGGCTATACCCACATGTTAAAAAGTTTAAATTCAATGTGGTGCAAACTTTCTACGGGCGGGGACTTTTCATGCTCATTTCCGATGATACAAGCTTTATTTTGCGCTAATAAAGATGGAATTTTTCGAGGTGCACTGTGTACGGAAATTGTTTTAGGTATGAACTATGTACTAAATGCGGAACGAAAAACTTCTTTTTATTTTGTTTTTTTTTTTCAGCCAAAATTTAATTTTGTGGACAATACACAAGTTGAGGACCACAGTCTGGAAAACACTATAGACTTTTTCTGCAAGTGCGCCGCCATCTTGAATTGACGTCACTTCCAGTATGGGCGAAAACATTGTTTTGCCTTTGCCACGCCAATAGAAGGCATTTAGGATATAAGCGTAACCGTCACACATTCTAGTTTTGCCTCCTCTTTATTTTTTACTATTTGCAGGTTAAAACGTTGGATTATTTTTTAATCGCCCATACCGGATACGCCTATTAGGTGGCTGGGGACGAGAGTGCAGAGAAAAGGTCTATACATTCTAAATATTGAATTCCTCATCTGGACACAGTGGGCTGATGTGTGGTACAAAACTATAAGCAATTTTGGGAACTTGTTTGTAGTAGTTTTCTTTCGGGACTAGATATATTTCTTTCTAAACAGCAAACCCATTAAAATGAAGTGCAGTTTCAACTGTTCCAAGCATGGCAGACAGCGTTTCAACGTAATCTACTCGGTTTGAAACCTTAGCATATTCTCTTTTATCTGCGGACAAAAGACATGAAAATATAACATGAATTCGATGGGATGGTCAATACAGACGCCGACCGATATTTCAGACGCCGAACATGTTGGATTATTTGGACGTTTTAGCTGAACTGTCACTCACCCCATAGAGTTAATGCTGACTGAAATTTCGGATGCCATGAAGCTTATTGCTCGACATTTCGGACATAATTTGTGCGATTTCCTCAGTTTACAGTCACAAAACAGTCCCTGCGATAGCGCCACGAGCTTACAGTAGTCACCGCCATTTTTGTTGTTTTGATTTTGCCCTGTAACCTCTATACCACGTTTTACGCAATAAACAAGCTGGGTTGAGGTTTTAGTTGGGTTTCCCAGTTCCGCTAAAGCCAACATGGCTGCCGTCTGCCCATTCTTATGGCTCTTCCAGTTCTTCTCGTGGTCCGTGCTTCTCGAGTGCAACCGCGAGAAAAGCGGCCGTCTGCCGTTCTTGTGGTCCTTGAGCGCGAAGGTTTTTTTGCCGATAGGCTTTCTTTCTTTCTTTGTTTCTTTCTTTCCGGATTGACCGGGAGGTGGACAGAGACTAAAGGCGTGATGCCTGACGGGGTCTCTGTCCCCTTTACAGTTCTAACACAGCAGTGCGGGGTACATAGATTTTTGAACACGAAAATTAGAGAAAAGAACCTATAAAATTCTATACAACTCAGAAACAATAAAAAACAGGATCGATCAAATAGTATGGAAGCGAGCTTGGTGGACTAAACATTGCCTACAAATAGTTCCAAATGGTGCCGACTTCAACTTCACTGTTTGTGCCAACGAAGGCGCCGACAAACTGCAGCAACATGATCAAACAGATCAACAAACAAGTGAAAAGTGAAGCGTGAAAACAAGTGAAAAGTGAAAAGCGGAAGTTGCACGAGAACTTAAAATTGACATCAAGCAACTGGAAAGTGGCCAATACGCAGTGGAATATGCGTGGAAATATGATATTTTGGCTGGGAATCAATTTTTCGGACCACTTGATTATTCGGACAATTTCGGGGTCCCATCACAACTTGAAAGATTGGTTGACGACTGTATTTCCGTGTTTTCCGCCCTCACATATTTAGTCACAAAAACAGGGTGGGTGATTTTTTCTGGTAGATGTTCATTTGGAACTTCATGGCAGGTAGACGACCGGGAAAATAGGCGTACACAAAGATTGGTTTTAGTCTGACACCGATTCTAGGGTGTGTTAACAGAACAAAGGGGAGGCTCGGGGGAATGAGTCTGCGAGTACAGAGATCTCCTGTTAATGACTGTATCACCAAAGAAAAAAATCGCCTGGCTTAGACATTGCATCAAAAGTGGGATAGCACTTTATGGGGTTTTTAAAAAGAAGCCCTTCCAATCAAGATTCTTTCCTCTAAAATGCTGTCACCAAATTTAGCCAGAAAATTGATGTGGCGTCAATTTGTCTGCTTAATTTAGCGGGAAATTGATATTACATGATCTGACATCACACGACATTTGGTCATGTGACATCAGTTGCCCTGCCAAACTTAGCGGAAAATTGACGTCACAGTTTCAAGTTGTGGTGTCGCGTGACACCACAATTTGAAGCCGCATAAATTTTGCGGTAAATTTAGCGAGGAAATAAATGTCACATGACCTCAGACGTTATTCTTCGACGTGACCTGACACCGCACGACACCAGGTCCCGTGACACCGATTTCCCTACTAAATTTAGTGGGAGAGATTACCATGGAACCATGTGAAAGCATGACGATGGTCACATGTCACATGACGTCATAATGTCACGTGATCTTGTGACATTGTGCGGTAAGCCCAACGAGAGCAAGAAAGGCCCCAGGGGTGTTCCTGTATAAAACTATCACTTTACAATGAAAGGAAAGAAACAAACAAGGTAGCTTTACCTTCTCAAGGTTCATGCTCTTCATGGCTGCGTCCATGGCCTTGACCACGCCCGCCATAGACTGGGTCACCTTCTTGGTCGTCACTGCCGTCTGCACCCTGCTGGCCACGGCGTCCACCCGCGAGGCCATCCGCAGATAGTTCAGGGCCTGGTTTTTCTGGCGGATCGAGTTCTCCGCATGGATCCGCGCACCTTCCATGTTGTTCTTCTGAATTGCCTGCGGTATGCAAAAAAACACTCGTAAGGTTTTCCCGCGTTTGTATTTCAGGCACGGTTTGAAAAAGATTTACTAAAGATCAACGTGCAAGATCTTTTCCTACCTGGGAGAGAACATTTTACCAATGTCCTTCTCTCTGGTGGGCAATCCTCCCCACATGTTCTTAAACCTACTCTCACAGCTTCATCTCTAGACCAGGATCCGATTCGCTCGAGAAAGCTGGCGAGTGGACCTGCCCCGACGAGTTTTGTTTTAGCTACTGGGTTTCGTCAATTTCATACACGTCACCAATCCCTTCTCAAACTGTTCTATCGTCCCTGTTTGAAAGATGTGGGTTGCGGCAACACCTTCTAGACAGCAAGGCTGTTTTTCTTTTTATATCTTACGTTACCTACATGAGGCCAACGCACGTCCGTCCCAGACTGGAGATGAGTGCTGCGCCGGCGTTTGGCTGGAGCTCGTGTTCAATCGTTGAGGACACGGGTTCTAGCCGAGCGATGACGCAGCACTCATGTCTGATCTGTGTCCACCACTGGCCTCCGTCGGCAGAAAAAGAAAGTACAGCCTAACAGCCCTGCTATCAGGAGTGCTGAGGGCTGATCCCAGAGAACAGAACAGGGTCTTCTTTCTCTCCGGAGCTGAAGGCGGAATAGTCCCTTTTCACAAGTCCATCAAGCAGCATTGGCGGTTGCCTCTTTGGACACGAAGCGTGTGATTGGATCCGAGTCCTCGCCGAATGCTGATGCAGCATTCGTTTTTAGCACGAGCTGAACCAAGTTCACGCCAAACGCTGACCTGGCCCTCGCGTCCAATACAGGCCCAGAGTGTGTGAGCAAGCAATGGCAGACAGGCGCTGGCGCAGACTTTCAAAAAGGGTCTATCAAGGGACAGGTTTCTTTTCAGTGAGTGCACATCAGGCTGTACAGCAGATCATATTAAAACAGTGCACAAGCAGAGAGGAAGAGAATAATGAACACTACATTACTGTAAACAGACACCTTAAAATGAAAAAAAAATTTAGACAGGTGTAACCCAGTTATGATAAGGGCCTTTCATGTTTTGTCATTAGACACACCGGTAAGTAGGAAATCTGATCTAGGATCCCAGGAGGAATTTAATTTGCATCAACAAATGTGAATCATAAACATACCAATGTCCGTATCGGCCCTTTTTTCTATTTCCCCACGAACACAAGAACACTCGGCTGCTGCACGAGCACACAGCTAACCTGAACTGCCAACCGAAGTAAACGCAAACGAGGCCCATTACGACACCGAAGGTTTTAAGCATGAGGTTTGGCGAGCGACAGAGAAGCATAAGGTCCTGAAGGTACGCTATAACCTCCACAACCCAGTTCGAACTGAATTAACACATGAAAAAGTTGTCAAAGGACCTCTCAGAGGTGCCAGTATGTTCCGAGGAGCACAGGGACAGCACCCCTTATCACACGTTGCACTCAATGTGGACTGTTGTAATATTTAAGGATACCGCAGTACGAAGAATATTATGGAGTCTCCACTAGTTTCCACAGTAAACAAAACAAACAGACAGAAAAAAAATATCTTTGTGGTTTGCGAAACCTGGAGATCTGGCGTAACTCCGTGACTTGCCTTTTTCAATTTTGTCTTCTCGACTTTCTCTTCTTTCTCACATTTTTTGGCGTTCCGTTCCAGCTCCTTGGCAGCAAACTTCAGGTTGAACAGATGCTCTGCGAATTCGGTTGAGGAACCATTTCGACAGAACACTACATCTAAAGCAGCGCTACAAAAGAAGGGACACCCGAAAAGTGGACCTAGCAGGTAGGATCTACCTCAGACACGTCAGAGACAAGGTCGAAGACACCACTCGCGTTCCAATGACGCACACACACACGATAACAAGGATACTTTCCATGGCTGTTGACATCGTCGAAAGCTTCGGAATCACCACGATCACACGCAAACACGGAAGGGTGGAGCGTTAACTTCGCGTGTTCCCAACTGTGTAGGATCTCTTTAGGCAACAATGAAAGCTGGTTCTTAATTCGTCAGGTGCCGCAATCTTTAGAGGACGAGTCTAAACCCGCGGGAACAGGGACTAGACAACGAAACACGAAACGCACGGCAAAACGGATATTTGGATTATGTCGGATTGTCGCCTTTTTGCCGATTGCCGAGTCCGACCCAGTCCGACCGCATATGTTGGCTTCTTTTTGGATTATGTTGGCTTCTGGTTCAGGTTGACTTCAAATGTTTTAATGCTGGTACTGTTTCGGTTTCGGAATAAGTTTCTCGTCCCTCTTTCGGATCTCGGATTCAGGTTTCAATGACGCCCTCGTATATGTGCAAATAAATTTGCGAAACCGAAACAAACATTCAGATTTCTTCCCTTTTTCGCCTCTGGAAAGAGAAGTGACGTCAGGGAGCACTGTCGGCATCGGTAGGATTTAGTGCTCACTCAGTGTGGTTCCCGTGGTTCGCTCTAGTGCATGGCGGTCTGTGAAGAAAACCTGAAAGGAATGGACGACAACGCCGCGCTCGCAAACGAGTTTGAGCTTCCGTTCAGCGACCTCACGCCGACTGAACGGGAGATGCTGCTAAGGACGCAGAACTCTGGATTGGCGCTTTACGAGGGCGCCCTAGAGTTACCACCAACTCCTCGGTCGCCACCTCCAGAGCGACTCCCCGCCCCACTTTTACCCAGACTCCGGTTGACGTGAAGGTGCTGCTCAAAATCTTTTGGTCGGAAATGCAACGAACAAATCCTGACACCGCTGTTCACAGCTCTACGCAAGACGACGGCGCGCAACCAAATGCTGCGCATTGCTGCATCGGTCGGCAGTTTATGCAAACTAACGTCGCCCGATCGACCGCACGTCTTTAGCCGACCTTAACGCAACCTACTACTGCACATAAACGCGGAATGATTGGCGAGACACCAGTTCGCAAAGCGAACTGGTGTCTCGCTCGTCGTCTCGACGCGCGAAACCAAAACCAAAAGTCCGCCGCCCCCGGCGCTCGTGCCTTTTTCTTTTTTTGTCCATGGCTGCTCGATGCTTTTTACGCGCCCGAGGTAGCAGTGCGGGATGCGTTCAACCAGTGACAAACGGAGGGATCGCTTCAGATTATGCTTTTATACACGGTATGAAACCTATTAATTCCCAACTACAACTTCAAAAGATTATCCAACGTTCAAATAAAAAATTTTCATCACATCTCACCACCGAAATCGAAACCAAGAGCGCGTCTATCGTTTGAACCACTGATCTCAATGACAATTGCTGGATCGCGCTTGCCGCTCCCGCAAGTGAAGCCACCGGGCTTCACTCGCTTGGGATACGATTTGCCGTTTTTGCTAGCCTTTGCTGCGGTTTTCCAGCGTGCTGACGACACGTTTTCTACTCGTTCGTCGTCATTCGCCGAAGAAGTTTTTTGAAGACTGTGTATTGTTGAGACTTGCCGTTGTGAACACGTGGAAAATTTTACGAAAGTGCAGTGTCGCAGGAAAAAGGCACAACGCGTCGAAAGGAAGGGCTGGCGGCGTGTTCAAAGCTTCCTTGGCACGCCGAAGTGCCGTGTCTCTGTGCCTTCGCGCGCATGGATACCGACCAAGAACCGACACCGTGTGGTGTCGGTTCTGGGTTCGAGTGTCGCCACCGGCGGCCATTGATTGACACCAGCGAATGCATGGGGCTCTATGGGAAGAACGAGAAAAAGTGACGTTTTCCCTTGTTTCTAAGCTGTTCTCGGCACTGAAACTTTTTGGATGCTTTTCGATAAGCCCGCCAAATAGCTTCCATACAAATATTAAAACTGACAGCCCTCGCAGTTCTTATAAATAAATATTTTGTGGCCGAGAGTGACTCCGCTGTACGGCAGCTCAATGAGGCGAGAGTTACCTAGAGTTATCGCGGAGTCGGTGGCGCTTTCGTTGAGTTGGGTTTAGCAGACGACAAGCTCGAAGGCTTTGCTACGCGGAATTCGCTCACTCCCGGAAAGCTGCTGTCAAAATGGAACTTCGTTGGCATTCATAAACTTCTGGGCTTCCCCAAGGACGGTCTTATTGACGGCAAGTTCCTTTGTTTACTACACTACGAGAGCAAGCCTGCCAGCTCAGCCGTAGGTGCTCCGGTACGTTTGATTTTTTTATTTGGCGACCGGACGTTTGACAAATACCGATTCGATCTCCAAACACCCGACATAAGGATCGCAGCGCACCATAAGATACTCGCCTCCGAGCACAGCGTACATTCTTCAATATGCTTACTTTTGTGCGTTTCTCCCATAGACTTGCGTGTATTGCCTGGTGTCAAGCAATGGCCGCCGGTGGCGACACCGACGTGGATCCAGCCTACTAAAATAGAGATCAGTGGTTTGAACCAATCGCCAGACGAGGAGCCCGTTGTCGTCACGCTTCGGCGCACTTTAGTTCACCTTTCTGCCGCCGCCTCGGTGGGGTCTCAGGCATCGTTCCCGGCGCTATTATTACCGCGCCTGTTTGCTCGATTGGTGCGGCACCCAAACTTCTGTTCGGGCTAGAACTTGGTCAACAGTATCTGAGACATGCCTGCCATCCATTTCAATCGTCGAATAAAACTTCGCAACTGCCTTCATGGTCCCTTTAATTTTAGCATTATCCAACCCCGAAGTAGGTTCGCTTGAAGCGTTTGAACATGGTCGGAACGGGCATTTGAAGAACTATGTCCTATGGAGCTTTACAAAACGGGAAGCTACGTTTGATTCTCACATGTTTCTACTGATCTTTCAATACCATTCCCTCTCCCCAAAAAGTAGTTAGCCCGAGTTTAATATGAATGAGTCTACTGGAATATTTCTTGCCCTCTCTCTGGCCACGTTACATTAAGATACGACTGCAAATGATCAGGACGTCCATGCCTCGTATGACGCGTACGAAGCTACATACCTAGTACGGATGTCTCGAAAACTCGCGCTCACACCTCGGCGTAGACAAACCTGTCAAATTTTAACAATTTTAATTATAATGGCAGTTTCGACTGTCTCTTTCCAGAGAAATTGAGGTATTCACTGAGTTTTACAGTTTTTTTTCCGCATAACTCGGCCGTGCCGTACGTAAAATCAGTGGCGTAGCAACCCCCCCTTTCACTGACCAGCTGCACCCCCTGAGCGCTACACCCGTGCTCGGGGGGGGGGGGGGGGGGGGGGGAGGGGGGGGGGGGGGGAGGGGGGGAGGGGGTTGCAGCGATATGAAGCACTCGACCCCAGAAGCAACAAAACCATTTTTGAGCCCAGTCGTCGGGTATGAGGCTAGACTCTCACCGGCGTCCGCGCTAACCCTAATCGAGTGGACTTTGATTTCGATAGGCGCAGTTTCAAACACTGCTGGCGGCTAAATTCTCCCCTTTTCCCGATGTATTTTGTGTTTCATAATGTTTGTATTTTCCCGAGAATATTGAAAAAAACATTGTACCAGATTAAATATACATATATATATATATATATATATATATATATATATACCCTATTAACCACGTGTGAAACGACAAAGAACTTAGCTGTCAAAAATAATTTACAAAAGAAGAGAGCCGAAAGGCATGCATTTTTCACGCTCACAAATAACGTGTTTACCGATGGACAGGACACGGATATACAATTTAGCAAGTGTTAACATTCGAACAATATATTGTAGGTAGTACACGATGCAGCGTTATCTGAAATGAATTTATTTGAGAAATGTCATAGTCGACGACAGTCACATTTTGACGATCGAACGGAATCCAAGATGACTTCGTTTTGAGGCACGCTTTGGGGAGAACCTCCCTTTTTCGCACCAGCACCAAGGCAAAGAAACGAACGCGACTGACCCGTTTCCCACCCGAGCCGGCAAGACTATATATTTTTGGAGATGACTGAGAAGGACCCTACGCGGATTATCTCTGAGAGGGGGGGAGAACAGTTGTCATTGTTCGCTAACTCACGTCGAGTGCCGTTCGACGTCCTTCCCTTCCTTCGTTTCCCATGAATGTCGAGCAGAAACGCTTGAATGGCAGGCACTTACCAGCCCTTTTTCTTACAGTGGAAGATAACACAAAGAGGGTATGCAGCATGTTTCAGAAAAATGAAGTGGAAACTTTCAAGAGGGACCAGGAAACGTAGAATGCAAAACCGCAAAACAGGTAGAGAATCGCGTTGAGTGGGTTTTCACAGTCCAAGATAGCGGCAGAAAATTTCTAGCTGATAGAGGGCGCGAGAGTCGCACCAGCCGCAGAGCCGTGTATTGGGAGAGTTTGGCCAATAGGCGGAGCAAAGGCCGCTGCCAGCGCCGAATATTCCCCCCACGCTTAGAGCGTAAACTAAATTTGTGACAATGCGTCGACCAATCAGGAGACCTCTACTCCATCTCACAAATGTCTGCAGTGAAGACAAAGGCACAGGCGCGTGAGCCTAGCTCAGCGAAACGCTTTTGTTTGTACGAGACCTCGTGCATAGGAAGCACTTTCCAAAGCCACGCGCTCGTGCCCATGCCTTTGTCTGCACTGCTAGAGCAGCGTCCTGAGACTGGCTGAAAGAAAACAGTGCAGGGGTGGGGTGCGCGAGCGTCTTGAGACGCGGAGAGTTGCGCTCGGCACGGCTCAAATTATACTTCATTTCCTTTATCTGCGAGCGAAGCCAAAGCTAGAAGCGCGAGACCAGCGCTTTTTGCATTTCTCCCCAGCTCGCGCGCTCGAGCAAAGCCTGAACGCACGGAGCTTCCGTGCTCGCGCTTCCAGTTTTGCCTTCGCTCGCACATAAGGTGAAACGAAGTATAGTCGTGTCACATATTTAGATCACACGACCACCGCTAGGGGCTATTTCGCGGCCTGTGGTTGGCCCCGAGATGCTCGCCTATTCAAACCAATGTATGGCCAAACTCTCTCAATAAACGGCTCTGACCAGCCGCACCAGCAACAGTGTTGCCATTTTAGCGATTTTTTATATATTTAGCAACGGATTTTTTTTTTTTTTTTAATTTAGCGGCTAGCGACTTTTTTTTAGCGACTTTGGTGTTCAACCGTAATCTTGTGATTTCGAACAATTTTAGAGATGCTCCCGGCCTAAAGTCTTTTGCTTCTCTAGCCGAGTTTGCTTTGGATATATGCTCAATTTAGCGGCGCGCTTAAAAACAATGTCAGCACTGTCAACACTGCAGACCTGAAGACCATCTC